CGGTATGGGGGCGGGGCTCTACGGCGCAGCAGCTTATTAACTCGCTCCGCCGGTCCACGACAAACATCCTGGCGTTGCAGCTGCAAGGTGCGCAGCAGCGCGCGGGCGCCTGGCACACGCGGAAGGAGCCATATGGCTCCCCTTAATTTTAGTTGAGCGCGCGCCTCTAAGCACTTCCGCTCGCACTTCCGGGTTGCGGCCGCGCGCCCCTCCAGGCCTGTGTCCCGCGCCCATGTCCCCCACGGCCACACCGAATGTCGGGCGAGCCGATGCTGGGATAAAGTCTGGGGCCGTACAACGTATACAAGCGCGCGGCCTGACCGTACTGATGGCAGATACGCAGCGTCGCGAAACGGACAGAACAACCGCCTCGGCAGGACAGAACTGTTGGACTGAAATTTTCGTTACCAAAATTAAAAGCATTTTCGTGTCCTGAAATGTCGAGTTCAGAAACAATTAGTATTTGCCACCCCCCCCCCTCTCCCTCGAATACGCGAAAGTTAAACGATTTTCTGCAGATTTAAAAGATAAGCCGTTGTTCCTTCTCTCTTGTTTACTTGCGCGTGCCCAAACTCCTCCCGCTCGAGTACATTTCTCTGTCCTCGGGGTGCGTCCCGGGCGGTGCGGGTGGAGGCGGCCGGGCTCGGGTGGCGCGCGGCGGCGGCGGCAGCGGGGATCGAGAGCGCTGCGCGGGGAGAGAGGGGGGGGGGCGCTCAGGAACGGCGATCAAAGGAAAGGCGAAATTGAGACGGGGATTCTTTGGGAGGGCAGTGCGGTATCATTCCTTTTGGGAAGAGCCGAGCCGCCCCGCCCACCGCCGCCGCCGCCAGTGCGAGGCCGCGAGCCGCTTCATCACGAGAGGGAAGCGGAGGGTTTAGAGGGGTAAACAACAACCTGCAGGGGAGTAGTCCGCACGGCGCTTGCGTTCACCTCGCGCTCGTGGAGCTAGCAGCCACCGCGAGGCTAGAGAGGTGGAGAGAGAGGGCCCTCGCGCGCGCTATCCGGGGGGGTTCGAGTGGCATCCAGGACGGGCCTGTGACACGAAACACGTCAAGGCGCCGTCGTCGAGCTTTGGGGTGGTTAAAACAAAACCACTATAGAGAGGTGAGTCGGGCCGCGTCGCCACGCTACCACAGGGTTGGTGTTAGGGTGGAGGGGGGCCAAAATTGCTTCAAGGCCTCATGTTGCACTGACGTGCTGAAAACATTTACTGGTGTAAAGTGAAAAGAGCGCGAGTCCTCGGACTTACTAGTGGACTTACGCCCTTTCCACTGTTTACCAGTGAATTTAACGCCGCTATCCGCGGGGCCGTCGCTCGACCCCGCCCGTCCGCCCGGCCGGGGCTGGGCTGCCTGACGTGCAACGCGGACCGTCGCGAGATGATTAAGTGCGGAAGGACCAGCTGGGGCTGGTTGTCTCACCTGCAATTGGTGTCGAGACATTTTACGAAACGCCCCGCCCGCCCACCGGGGCTGTTTGGGGGACTTTCTGCTCGGCTTGTCGGCGGCGCGGCGCGCTCGTTAAGGGGCGTTAAAACTCGGCCGCGGAGGGATTGGGAAGGCAAATGGAATAATTACATCGAGGCTGTCCGCCCCCCGGCCTAGCCTCTGGACCAAATCTCTGCCCGAGGCGGGAGGGGGGGGGGGGGCAGGTGTCGGAGGGGGCGGGGGCTGGCCCCGCCCCGCCATCGTTTAGAGATCTCACAGAGACGTCAGCCGTCCGGCCGGCCGCAGCCGCCAGCACCGCCTAATAAATCATTTTAGAGCATTGCGAAACGTTACGGGGTGAATTCCGCGCCCACCGCGCGCAATACGGCTTTTGTTTCTGTCATAATAATTCCTGGTCGGCCGAGGTCAAGGGCGAGCAGGGTGAGCTCCAGGGGGGCTGCCTGGTGGCGGCAGAGGAGATTAACGGGGGTGGCCGATGTGCGCCGCCCGCGCCGCCCCCCGGCACGTCCGCGCGCCCGGGACGTGAGGCCGCGCGGGGCCGCACCGCGGCGGAGCTCATCCTGCGATTGAGCCATCGCGTTACGTATGGACGTGGCCGGGCGTACGTCCTACCACCTCGGCCCGGCCTACCCCGTGTCGGGTCCGTGTCGGGTGTCGGCGCCGCGGCCGCAGGACGAGTGCGGGCGGGAGAGCAGCGTCGTTAAGCACCCCTCCAGGCCAGCTTGTACTGTTCCACGCCGTCGTCGGCGTCATAGCCCTCGGCGACGGCGTCGTCGACTCCTGCGTCACCAAGTAGGGCGGCAGCGGCAGGGCCCGCCACTACTGCGCAAGGCAAGGGCGAGAGACTCGCCGTGGTTCCCAGCCAGGCGCAGGCGGTCGTCGCAAGCAGACGGTTCGCGCAGAGGTTACGCTGCCCCCCCCCCCCTCCCCTAACCTCGCCCCCTCCACACCGCCTCGCACACTCAGGTGGCTCACGTATGCGTGTAATGCGCGTGTAATGCAGAGCAGATGAGCATGTCATCAGGAGCGTGGGCACGTAGCGCCAGCGCCAGCCCAGCGCCAGCCAGCCCTGGAGTTGGCCAACCGCACTGCACTCTCCTTCATCAG